TGACTACTTTTTCTGGCATTTTTAAAATTCAATACAAATTTGGCGAGTCTGAGTGACGTGCTTTTGAGGTTGTATATTTGTTTAATCCCTATTTTGGAAGTTAATATTTTGATTCCTAGCTTTTTTATTGATAAAAGGAGAATTTTGACTCTTCGAACATTGGTTTTTCCAGTGGCTCACACAACCACTATCGAATAAATAAGCCATATGAAAGAAGGCCAGAAAGATTTTGTTTTTGTCCAGGAAGAACAAGCGCGTGGTGGAATAACTTTGTATCTGAAATTATGAATTGCTCGCCATGGAAGGTATCTTTAATGTCGCAAGATGTCACGAAAATTGTGGGCGCTTTATGTATAAGCATGCGCAGTTAATTATTTAATACACTTTTAATTCGGTAATAACTTTTAATTTCGAAAAGGCATTAGTGTGGACAGATGCAGATAACACAAAAAATCTGTCAATGTTGCAAAAAGTTTCATCAAATAACTTTTAAACTCGTAGAAATTTGATTTTAGTAAACCCTTAACTTTTTTTAAGCTTTAAATAACATAAATTACTACTTTTTGTGCGTTTGCAGATTGTGTTACGAAGTGATTGAGTCATTTAAGCCTTTATGCTTTTTAATTTATGGAATGATTTTCATAAGTCATTACTTTAGTTATACTCACTCTTTACTCGACGCTTGAATATTAACATGTTCACCAACGCATGATAACCGGCATTGCTGAAGTGCGATAATTTTTCTGATTTGTTTCTTATTAAATGTATAGATCCGCATAATTTGTAGCATCTTAAATTGCCTGTGATTTTAGTTTTGGAAAAAATTGGACCATTTTCGTGAAGAAGTTAAAGTTTTAAGGGGGCAAATTCCAAAGAGGGCTATATTTTTTGCGGGTGGGGGGGGGGTCAAATTTCCCGTGAGATCGGGCTTTCGAGAGGCCTGTAGTACAAGACATAATTAGTTTTTACTTTTTGCTCTTCTGGACTAACTAAATGTGCCAAATTTAGACTATTTATGATGTTGAAAACCGTACAAGCGTAAGAAATATTATGCACCATGTTATACATCATTGAAAATAATGAATTTTGGCAATTCAGACAAAAGACACCAAACGGGTCACTTTATCAGCAAATTAGTAAAAGATGATCAAAGAGGAAGATATGCTCAATGAGATGAAATATGGTGCAGTCAAAGAAGTCCGAAAGCCAAATAAAGTGAAAGGGACTTTCATCACGAAATTTGCACAAAGCAAGTTTTTACAGAGCAAGTGATACTTTGTGGTATTGTTTTATAAGTAAGCGCACGCTTTCAGGGATAAAAGAAATTAAATATTCTGCTTCCCAAAGCGAGGTTTAGTAACGTCAAAGAATATTGAGGATGGACGTTTACGACTAAATATCCTCATTCCTATGTTTGCGGTAACACTTTAGTAAATATTTCTGTTGCAACAAAAGAAACCGAGGCGACCATATCTGTTGACCGATGCAGACCTGTATATTCGATTATCGACTGTTGCTATGAATGATTCTACTCTAATTGCTATATCCCAATACACTTTAGCATCAGTTGACCAAGTTTAAGGAATTCGTTTGCTATGCTTTAAGTCAAACAGAAGATCATAAAATGAAAGCTTTAAGAAGTGATATTTTTGGTGAATATTGGGTAGAGGCGTTTCTTTAGTTTTGTGCTGCAAAGGTTTTGTGCAATAACCTACGAGCTCTTATTCTTCAGAGCATAATGGTATTACAGAGCGTTTGACTGGGACAATCACAGCATTGAATCGATCAGTGATGACGATATCTTGGCTGCTATATTAACTGGCAGAAACGCAATAAATTTTACTTAAAGTTTACAGTCTGGTGTTATATATATAGTTCAAGAACATCGACGATGGCAATGTTCATTTTCTACTGGGAATGTTGATCTGCGATTACTTTAAGAAGATTTTCAAACAATTTGGGATGGAGAAATGAAAACGCATGTACACCTGTTGAACCGTTGAAAAAAATTTTAGATTTCTCGGTTTACAAGACTTTTAATCACAAATATCCCTGCGTTTACTTACAATAAAGTTGCTTCTTATTTTCATCTCAAATAATTAACCAATGTACTATATAATATTACAGGATTGGCATTATGATTGAATGTGGACAATACCATTGAATGAAAGTAATATCCGATCAAACTCGAAGAAATTTTCGATCTGTCTCTTGAGTAACATTTTATTGTCCGAAATTAAGATTAGCCTTTTTGAAAAAAAATGAATACATTGCCATTTAATGTATTGAATAATATACCAAAAAGCCGAGCCTATACTATTATGTTATTTGCACGTATTCGAATCTTGTGTGCGATGAATTACTTTCAGCTCACTTCCACATGTTTGATTATTTTCATCCCTTATCCTTAAATGTAATACTTTTACATAATTTTTAGAATTGCAGTTGAAAGAATGGAAGTATTTTGATCAATCAATAAAGCACAAAGAGATGTTCATGAAATTAATTAAGTATGGACACGACTCAGATATCAAAGTTACATGTGTGAACGACGTACTTGTAATTTTCTCGGACGAGTTTTGCATTGGCAAAGGAAATAATGAAACCCGTGTTTATCTTGGACTAAAAAAGGATGGTTATGGAAAAGCAGTAAAACGAGTACGTCGAGATAACTGTATCAAAGAAGCAGAGAACGAAATGAAAATTTTGATTGAAATCAAAGCTAAGAAGTCGAGTTATGTTGTGAATTATTACCACTTAGAAGAAGATACCGGAACTGAATATGTCTATTTGATACTTGACCTATGTGAAGAATCGCTGGAGAGTTTCGTAAAATCTTCTACTTTGGAGGATCTTCAAAAATCTCTTCCCGAAATTCTCAAGCAAATTTTAAAAGGATTAGCTGATCTTCATAGCGAACCAAATCCTATTCTTCATCGTGATTTAAAACCATCTAATGTTCTTCGAGATGCACAAGGACAATATCTGATAGCTGACTTTGGTATTAGTCGAATATTGAAAAACGGCCTTAAGACACATGTAAGCGATGCTACTAAGAGAACTCTCTATTGGATGGCTCCTGAATCTTACGTTCCTAGTGAAGAGTCAGTTGATAAAGCACGATACAAACCAGAGTCTGATGTAATGGTGGGTGTAAAAATATAACCATTTGCAAATTACTTCCAAATTTTTTAGAAATCTTTTTGACACTGTTATGTTTTTATGTATTTTAGAATGCAGGAATGGTGGCTTATTATGTTGCAACAAAAGGGAAACAACCTTTTGGAACTCCAGAGTATAGACTGAAAAACTTGTTAGATGGAAACCCTGTTGGATTGATGGAAATCGATGATGTTGTACTTAAAGATCTTCTTTTATGGGTGCTGCAACATAAACCCGAACTCAGACCATCTGCCAAAAAAGCGTTAAAACATCCATATCTTCAATCTGCTAAAGAGAACTTTGATATGTTGTGTGATGTGGTGAATCAACTGGAGATAGAGTTAAGTGATCCTCTCAACTCAGATGTCCATAAGCAGTTAAATGATCCAGAAAATTGGATGGACCGTATCAACGGAGAAATTTTTAACAATTTCAATGACTTTGATCCTACATGGTTAGGCTGCTTAAAATTTTTACAAAACGTTCGCGAGCAGTAGCAAGATGAACCTCATCCACAACTGCTGCAAAGTGAGGGCAACTATAAAAAGTATTTCCTGCAAGTTTTGCCGGAGCTTCCTCTTCTGGTGCACAGAATCATAAGGTATATCGAAAAGAAATCCACTCCAGATCTGGAAGAACAATTTGCTAGTAAGTTAACCATTGAAATATTTCTTTTTCGTCAATGATGTAGCTTATCAATCTCTAAAATGTCTAAGTGTAAAAAATGCAACCTAGTCAGTCAGTTATTCCCGTTATACAGTCGAAGTGTAAATTTTCTGTGTTTGATTTGTCGCGATATGTTTGTTTATCGGTGCATCAAAGATTGTCATGAACAAGCTAACCATTTTAAAAATGTTATCTCCAGCATCCCCTTTGACGTTATGAAATGGTTGAAACGCAAATATATTTTTAACATATTCTAATATTGATATGGAGATGAACAAGGAGTAAGTGTTTGCAGGGACGGCGAAGCAACATTATGAAGTGCAGGGCTAAGTCTTTAATTCTACTATGGCGTCTTAAAAAATTCCTCTAAAGAACGACTTCAGCTCAGTCTAAATATATTTTTTGCAAAATAAGGGGGGGGGGCTTCAGCTCTCCCAGCCCCTCAGGCTGTTAACGTTAGTGCAAAGCTTATGATTAACTGTAAGGATTTTTAAAGTTAGACAAAGTATGACCCTCACATTTATATGTTAATATGAAATATTCATATAATTCTATTTTTCTTGGTATTCTATCCTTCTTGGTGCTTATGTTTTTAGTACATGGATATTTATGGTTGTTTAAGGCAGTCAATATCCAATGAATTATAAATTGCAGGTATATTATAAGTTTGAGTGTGAACTTTCTTTTCATTGTTGCAGGTTGCTCTGTGCTAAATGAAGGTTGGTATACTCATGCTATATACTTATTATCAATGCTTATAAATAATCCAAAAATAACAACTAGTTATCTAAGGAGAAAGACAAAATGCTCCCTTCAAGAAAGAAAAATTTAAAAGATAATTCATGTGATGATCATCCTTTGTTTATTGAATTTTTTTCACTGCATAAACCCCTTTTTTACCGGTAAAGTATCGTAAATTGACGACTGTTAATGAGCGCTTCGAGTACTAGTGTCAATTCAAAAAAAAACGTTGCATACATGTGTAGAAATACTGCATGTGTAGTCGGCTTCCTGTTGCTCATGTAATCCACTGCTCGTCAGTGGCTACTATTTTCTAAATAACATTTTGATAGGACTTTACATTGCCGACAGTTCTCTTAGACTGCAATTGATGTACCTATGTTGAATCTGTCGAATCTTTAAATGTACATCGCACAAAGCAAATTGATTGATTGATTGATTGATTAAACTTTATTAAAAGAGGGTAACACGTGACACAACAAGTGTGAAAAACTTGTGGCCCTCAAACTAACAAACTACGAGATTAATTACAATTTAAAAATCAGAATTACACAAGACTAAAAATACTAAAAAACTAAATAATAAATTATTCTATGAGCATATCTGAATTAGCTTTATCATAAAGTTTCTTTTTAAAAAGTGTAGCTGATGAAAGTTTACGCATAGTAAGAGGTAAACTGTTCCAAAATCGACTTGCAGTAGCAGCAAAAGATCGCCCACCATCATTTTGTCTCTTCGTTTTGGGTAAACAAATAGTTAAGTCTTGATAACGAGTATTTCTATTGTGGCGACTGGCATTTGTTGGTAGAATATCAATAATATAAGATGGACAGTTACCATAGAAACGTTTATGACAAATCATGGCCTTTCTAATTTCCACTTCCTTACTAAAAGGTATCCAGCCCAATTTGGAAAAGAGTGGAATACTTCTATCGCGTGTTGAGGCATCTAGAATTACGCGAGCTGCTCTCTTTTGCAATTTTGTAATTTGATCCAAGTTATCTTTTGTTGTATTTGACCAAACACAGCTGCCAAACATCATAGCAGATTTAATAGTGGCATTATAAAACGCAATGCGTTCATCCAATGGTAGATAATATCTTAACTTTTTAAGAAGGCCAATTCGTTTGGCTAATTTGGAACATAGCTTATCAATATGATTTGAAAAACTTAGGTCTTCATCTAAAATGATTCCCAGAAGCTTCTGGTCATTAAGAATCGTTTAAACAATAGTCATATTGATTTTCATTGAAGTAGATTTGAGTGTAGATGTGTACGTTTATGTTGGATGTCTGCAAAATGTTTTTTTTGATTCTGTAACTAGGTCTAGTTTATTTATTGTTTTAATTAATTTTCATCAATTTAACACAATTATTGCAATCATGACCTTCAAACACCGTTTTACGTTATTCGCTTTTAATATGGTTATGTACTTATACGTTGCTTGAAAGTGATGCATGAAGCATGAAAACGTTGCAAAACAAAAAGCATAAAAATGTTAATATTCATAAATGCGCAAAAGCACTTCCTATCAAGGCATTTAGCTAACATCTCGGATGTTTCGTACTTTCGGTTTGACTTCATGATGTTAATTGTTTCTTCCAAACATTCACAATACAATTTGCTTCATGCTAATCTTGACGGTATACGCACTTTACTACAGACACCATGAGATATTAAATGGTTTGTCTCGTTCCTTAAGCCATGCGTATTTAAAAAGCTCAGTTCCGTTTCAGGTATGACGTCATAATTGCAGATATCGAGAATTATCAGCATGTAGTTGACCAATCACAGCAGAGAATGCCCACATAGTAAATTATAATAGCTATTATTATATGGCAAGCGTCACTTCCGGCAAAATGGCGCGCTTTGATTGACTCAAAAACATTTTTGCAGGCCCCATTATTTTCCCTTAATCGACCATGGTCGAAAACGCGTAATTTTACTGTCGAATGTAAACAAAGTTTGTGATGCAAACAGCAAAAGGCAAAATAAGCCAAACAAAAAACCATTTACGAATGTGATTCGAAGGAAAAACACTTGGAAAACAGTTAAACTATCCAGACGATACAATTTGAAACGATTTATTTTTTATGGGCGAAAACTAGAAAAGTGAAAATCAACCCGTAAAAACAGCAAGGACGAGAAAGAGAGCAAGCTTCGTTTCATGTCAAATAATGCCATATAATAATCCTTTCAATAACCTCGCTTTCTCGGTCTTTACTGAGAAATATCGGACCTCCGTCTTTTTTTACAAACTTCGCCACCTCGGTCCATTATTTCTCCGTATAGACCTCGCGCTCGTTTACTAAGGGCTTAGTATTGCGCATGATTTGTAGATGATTTTGTCATTATTGTATGACAACCAATCATGTTGCAAATTTAGCGTCGCGCGCGGAAAATTCCGCCTGGTTAAAAAAAGGCTTTAGATTTATTTGTGATAGAACGGTTGTGGTTGACGATTGTGCTTTTAATATTGGGCGGTTTGTGCTGTTAAGATTTTATAAAGATTTAAAGAGGGTGGTTAAATACTTTTCTATCATGCAAAGAAATTGTTTGCAACGTTGGTTGTTACATTCTTACTATAAGGTTAAGTTAAACCACTGATTCAATATAAATTTGAATATTCAGTGAAATCATCTACTTGATGATTATTACATAAATTCACTGATTAACAGAGCCATAGTTTTATTATTTTAATTTAACTAAAAATCATCAATAGGCGTGAAACACTGGGTAGTAAATCATATCAAGTATTGTTTGAATATGTAATTCAAAGTTATATATGTATAAATATGTATAACTTTGAATTACATTTAAACAATATACTTGATACAAAAAACAGACGTACGTATTTCTCATGTTATTTTTTATAGTAGACGATGAAAGAAGTTTGGGTGAACTTCCAAAAACAGGTAGATAAGTCTTTTCAATATATGTTTACATGTTGCTGATTTTTGATGATTCACGTAAACTACGAAATCTCATTTATCTTTTTGTTTTCCGTAATGATGTATTTAATGGAGTAGACCAGTCTTCATCTTCTAATACAAAGGGTAACGCATATTGTTGACAGTCATTGATGAAATTTCATAACTCTGCTATTTACTTTTGTATTTTGTCTGATTTATCTTTAGGAAAGAAAATGCAAATACCATTTATAAGACAGCTTTTCATTCGAAGAACTAAACCCAAAGGATTATCATTTAGATAACCGTTATCTAAATGAGAATTAGCAGATTTTTCAAAAAAGAATTGTTAAAGAAATCTTTGGAGCAAGCTGTCAAAAGAGTACGAGGAATAACATTTTTAAGCTAGAATACCTGCGTCACTCACAGATTTATCTTTAGGAAAGAGGACGACGAAAACATTACCCAGATTGCATTACGTGGAAGAAGGTAAACATGTACATGCTGATATTTTCATCATTCTGTGAACTCACGTTAACTGGCTTTTCAGAATCACAACTTCCAATTAGGAAATCTATCACCAGTTCTTCGTCATTGTGTCAAAAAAGTGACGGGAGAGGTAATGAAGAGTGAAATAGCTCACTAAACAACACCTTAACCGTAATGCTAAGTTTTGTAATAAACATTCATGTTGTGATGTAATGTTTTATAATTGTATTTTCCAGCTGCTTTAGAAAAGCTTCATTCGACATATCAATCCGATGTTAATGTCAGAAATGGTATTAATTCAAAAAATGGTAAGTAATAAAATTTTGTTAACAAACATTTACTCAAATATCTATACATTGCCATTTTGAACGCTCAATTCCAACAAGACTGCATTGCAACTTATAATTATTGTTTCGAAAGATACGTAAGTGACTTTTGTGTGAAAAATGACTGCAGTTAATCTTTTAATCAACCGGAAGTGCAAACCAGGCTTTGATACTTACACATTTTTCATAATACTCTATGTACAGTATTGTCTACTGCGGACATCTGTTTTTTAAATCAAAACGTTGTCATTGCTTTCAAATGTTTTGTTTGATATAATTTCGTTTACTTGTTTGTGAATAGTTTTAGATTCTCGAAGATTATCAATCAATCAATTAAATTGTGGGATTTATCGCGAGCTATGTAGTAAACTAAACGATGAGTTGTATCGCGTGGATTGGAAAACACTAGCTGGAAAAATGAATTTCACAGCTGGTGAGGTTAGAGACTTCTCAAGAGAAACGAATCCTGCTGATGTGTTGCTTCAACAATGGAAGACAACAAGCATTAACCACGATGTTCCTGCTTTGATCAAATTGTTGAAGGAAATGGAGATAAACGATCTAGTGGATTTACTGGAATCAAACCAAGATGATTATCAGTAATTTAAAATATCAGTCATCGTTTGTTACACCACGTAAATATTACTTACATGAACAATTTTTATCATTGTTTAGGAATACTTTTACCAGCATTACAACATTGCTTAAGGGTCAAAAAGATGAGAGGAGATGACACGCGTAATATCATTTACCATTTGAACATTTACCAGGAAAAATTCGATTAGAATGATACTAGGAAAATAAAAATAGACAAATTCTCGGTATCGCTAGTATCGAATGAACAAAGATCTTTTTCTCGTTATTTTAAATAGTTGCATCTTAAATAGTTATGCAATGAAGTGTGTCATTGACACGCGTAATATCATTTACCATTTGAACATTTACCAGGAAAAATTCGATTAGAATGATAATAGGAAAATAAAAATAGACAAATTCTCGGTATCGCTAGTATCGAATGAACAAAGATCTTTTTCTTGTTATTTTAAATAGTTGCATCTTAAATACTTATGAAATGAAGTGTGTCATTGACACGCGTAATATCACATTTTTCAATGAATTCTTGCATTTTAGATGAACGGTCTATTCTAAATTCTATTACTATATATCTTACATGCCAACACCCTTAAGGTTTTTTTCTTCTCATTAGGTGTTGCATGGTAGCTCCTTGTTTGATTCGGTTGTCCAAATTTAGAATCTCCTGTGTTTTTTTTAAATCTAGTCGACTGCAATCAATGGTTAATCACAAACATTAAACAGTTATACTATAAAACGTTCCATTTGCTGTGATTACAATAAGCGGATTGTGTTTTGATTTATGCTTTTAAATTTCTTGGTAGAGATTTGTACGGAAAAAAGTAACTTCCAATTACGTTCACATTGACAAAGACCCCATTGCCTTATTGAGTTTAAGGTGTCCCTGATTGTGCTAGCTTCATCATAATTGGTGAAAGTAAACCATTGCACTTAATATGTTTTAAATGAAGTTTATAAAGATTAAACTTGACGATAGTAGTCTTTTATATACCTTGTTATAGCTACCTTGTTATAGTTGCCTTGTTGCTATGACAAATTTTTTGTGTTTTTGTTGTTTTGTTGGGTAATTATAATTTTTAGAATCTTTGAATAATAAGCTTTCCCCTAAAATGTAGCTACTTTGCTACTATTATGATTAATATATTTTTATTTCGACAATAATTTGTAAAAAAACACACCCTTATTTGGCGTGCATCAAATGATTATCGTAGATTTTTTACGATTAACTTCATACAGTTGGATGTTTTAAAACATTGATACAAGTAACGTTTAACAAGGATGAGTACAATTTCTGAAAATTTTCTTCCTGCGTATGTTTAATTTTTATAAATTTTCATCTATGTTAAGGCTAATAATCACGAAAAGTTGCTTTGTTGACGTACGGCGTTGAAGGTTATGATGTTATATGTAATTTAAACGCCTTAATGATTGAATATTAAAACTGTGCAAGAATTCTATTTTAATCTTTTCATTTCAACGAGTGAGAAAATTTCCTAAGTTCGATATTCACCTTGGATAATACAGAATTTATAGAGTTGCCTTGAATGAAATGTTACTTCATGGATGACGGTAAGTTATATAAAATCAAATTTATGCGAGACCCTCGTAAATTGTGTGTAAGCTATACATGCAAAAATATGGATATATTTACCAACATTTTATCGTAGAACATACATACATTTTATTCATCTTTTTATCTCGATAATCGTCGTCTAGAGATTTTATGTCTTTATGCACCAACTATAGATATATCTTTAAGGTTTTTTCTGAGTCGAATTTTATTGACTAAAATACTGTCACACGTTTGGTGACTTTTCAATTGACAGAACGTTACGAGTCTAAAGGTGAAGGAACGGAATATTACCCCGACTATGAAAGTAAGTTATACTATCTAATTTATGTATAAGGCACTTATAAATTGTATCTTCCATACGTAGTGATATACTTTCTAACATTCAACATATACTCCTTAATTATGCTTTTCCTTGTAATCGCGTCATCTCAGGATATTTTACGTCTCCTTGCGCCCAATATTTTAAAGCATTTTCGATTCAAAATCCTTTCATGAGATTGTGTAAGATGATAATAATATCCATAATAACTATAAAAATAGCTTAAGAAGCATTGGTGCAAACTGCACGATTTTACAAAGCTATAATTCACAAAGTTTAGGTGTTGAACAACACAAAATAAGTCAGTTTAAAGTTAATGTCATCATCAAAAAAGAGCTTTTGACAATTCAGATGAACCTTCGGCATACAAGTTTCAGGCACTGCGGAGGATCTATAATTGGGGGGGGGGGCTCATATTCCTATATTCATGTTTTAATCCTTAGAAAACAATGGATTTCAAAGGGTCTTAAGCCTCCATATCATGAATATATGAATATTACCCCCCCCCCAATTATCGATCCTCCGCGGTGCCTGTTTGTTATATGTTCCTTTTCATTTTGAGCAAAAACGTCATAAAGTGTTGGATACGAATAGATCAAAATATTGTATCATTCTGATTACAAATTGTATTACAATGCAAAATAATTCTGATCAATTTTGGTAAATATCAGCAGAAATAGATCCGTCCGCCATTTTTTCTGTTCCGTTCCGCCGTTCAGTGGTTTTATTTGTTTCAATTTTGTTTCCTGAAATAAATTTAGAGGAGTTTGTAAAGATGCGTTCTGGCGGCCCCCATATGCCTTCTGGTAGTGGTGTCTCCCCTCAAATCATTCGTGGGGTATTCCCCCCTGGCTGTACCCCAGCCACAACGCCACCGGTTCGGTGTTTCATAGATATACATAGGATCGATACATAGGCGTAGAAACAGATTTAAATTTGGGGGTGGGGTTAAAGTCGACGAGTATAGTATATACTCCACCCTTATTTTTTAAAGCTTTAGGGAGTCTGGTACAAACATTGAAAATGGAGAAAGTCATGAAACCTTTATGATTTAGTTGTACTTCATTACATTACACAAAGTGCAAGTATTGTTCAAAAATCGATACATTGCACAAAACAAACGAATTTAACTAATAGCCTAAACGATTGGTCGTACTAGTTGCAAGCTAGGAATTCTAGTTCAATGTCAGACTAAGATGTTTTCACTCTCTGAAGAGTTAAAAATGGACCTTTGTTGTATGCATTAAATGGGTACAAAGAAGTTAATGAGCTTTACTACACAAACAAGGACGTACGTTTTCATGATGTCGCTTATCGTGCTAATTCAAGTGATATCCATAATTCGCATTTGATCTTAGCATAAATTTTGCTTGTTTGCGGTCTTTACTAAATCTAACAGTATTGATATTGTTTTCCTTCTTAAGTCAATTTCTACTTCGTTCTTGAACTTTCTGTAGTCTGTGTGATGGGTACATAACATAAAACCCCTATATGCACCTATCACAAGTGCAATATTTGCCTAAGATCAAACTTTATTTGTCAAAACTGAGCTCCAGTTCATATCAAATACTGCTATCCGCGTGCAACACTGCATACTTTTTTTTAAAAAGGCATCGATCGCTGCAGTTCTGACAGTAAAACCTAGTCTCGCTCAAAGATTTTATAGTAGATTAAAGTGAGCCACTTCAGCCATTAGTCAGATTGAGGGCAAGACTGAGTTACACAATATACCAATACAGCCTTTGGTTCTTCTCTTTGAATTGGGTCAAGTGACTGCATTCAGATGTCGAGTCATATAGGTATTTGCTGCCCCATCATGTGCTTGTTTATGACTCTTCAAGTTAGGGGAAGGTTACCGCGAATAAGGATGTATACAGTATTTTATCAAAAGCTCCCAAAAACGTGTTCATTTTGAAGTTTTTTGGCATTGTCTGGTTTATCTATAAAAATAATAAGACGGTAAAATTGCCAGAACGCTCATTTTATACACGTTACGTGCAATACACAACAGAATTTAAACTTTCAACTTTTCGAGTTGAATTAGATTTTTAATTTCTCATTTTTTTTGCGCAAGCGTTTGCAAACTGCTCTCACGCTTTTCAAGATTAATTTTTTGCTTTTAGATAAACCAGGCGATGCGAAAATACTTAGACGTGGACACATTTTGAGAAATTTTGATATAAAGATAATTTTCTTGTTTTTTAAAAATTTCTAATTTTTTTTGTACACCTTGTGAATTGTTGATATCTTACAGTTCATGGTTGTTTGCTCTCTAATTAAACATCCTATACATCTATGGCGCGCCAAATGTGCTTTTATTATTTAAGTACATTATCGCATTATTTTGCATTTATCGTATTTTGCATATACGATGATTGCATTTAGTAGTTTAGTAGTTTGTTTATTTCAAATAACCATTTTTGTAACAACGTGCTTTAAGTTTATTACATCAAATAACCACTTTTACTTCCTTTGATAAAATTTGGTTACATTAAATAACCAGTTTTACTTCCTTTGATAAAATTTGGTTACATCAAATAACTAGTTTTACTTCCTTTGATAAAATTTGGTTACATCAAATAACCAGTTTTACTTCCTTTGATAAAATTTGGTTATATCAAACAACCACTTTTCGCAAAATGGTTGTATCAAATAACCAAAATAATATTGATACACTTGGCGAAGCAAAAAAAGTCAAAACATGATAAGCCCACTCCCCCTTTCGGATTTTTATGTTTTCCGAGAGGTAGCGGTTTTTTCCAACCGAATTTCTATGCGCGCTTTGTGTTTGATGAACTCTCTTATTGACGATTGTTTTATTCAAAGGAAGGATTTTAGTTTTCAATGAATTCCCCCAATTCCTCCGAAAGGCTTGCGACATCATTGAGTGATGTTATATTCGTGAAACTAATCAAACTATTACGAACTCTGCCGAGGTAAGCAGTACATTTGAATAAGGAAGAAATAAATGTGTATGGTCTATGGCATTTTATTAAACTTGGCAACTCTGTGTATAAAGTATCAGGTATTGCTTGTTGATTTTCCACAATTTCTATAATGGTGATAATGGAAAAATACCCATTCAAATGTGCTGCTTACATTGGCAGAGTTCGTAATAGTTTCACGAATGGCTTGCCCTATAACATCAGACAAATATTTATATAATTATAATTATTCTTTTACCGCATTAAGTATTCTCCATTGTAAGAATGAAAATTCCATAACTATGTTATGCTTGAAATATGGAGCATATCTGAAACAATTGAACTTTTTGCAAATACATGTATTCTTAACAAAAGTGGTTGTTGAGCAGATCATTGTTTTGTGAAAATCTTTGCTGTTAGTAAAATAGCGTTACAGCTTTTTATCTTTATAGTTTAGTCTTTATACTTTATCTTCATCTTTTTATCTTTTCAAATTGCTTGTATTATTAAGAGTATCTACGACAATTTGCAAAAAAGGTATCAACATAATTTGATAGTTCTAATTAACAGGAACAAAGTTTATCTTCGACTGGGTAATATTGGTTCTACCACTGAAAGATTTGTGGACGACCTGAAGAAAGATAAAATGGTCTGTCTTTGCCATATTGCATTGGGAGGATTGAACAAGCTGCT